ATTCTGCTGACTTGGCATCTGCCTCTCACCAGAGGTGCCTTGCCCGAGTTGCCCCGCTGGCACAGAGAAGGCAGCCGGTCACAGGCGAGGGGAAACCAGAGCAGCCCCCGAGACTGGGGCCGAAGGGCAGCAGTGGGGAGAGTGGGGTGAGGAGGAAGGAGAGTCTCTGCGTCCACAGAGGAGGAGGAGGAGGAGGAGGAGGAGGAGCGGCGGGGGGGGAGGGCTAGAAACCAGCGTGGAGCAGGATTTGTCTGCCCTTTCATAAAGGCCTCACTGCACCACCCTGCGGATGACCAGGGGGATGCAGAGGGAGAAAGTGGAGAAGGAGCCTCTGGCCAGCCCCAGCTTGGCTGGGATGAACTGGTTTGCAATGAAGGGCTGATGGCCACACTTCTGTTCCCTGCCCTTGAACCTCCTCCTGCGGATTGGGCCCCACGTTTTGTTTGTAGGTGTGACCTCACCCCCTTATTCTGTGCCCCCGTGAAGCCCAGATAGGCAACCCTCTCCCTGGTCCCATCTTCACAATCACAGGTATGACCAGCAGCCTGCAAGCCAGGACGGTCCTGAACAGGAGGAACTCAGCCTCCAATCCGTCCACGCGCAGAGGCATGGAGCACTCCTTCAGCCAACGTGAGAAACGGCTCTCCAGGGCCAGCCCTCAAGAGTCCCTGCACCAAAGTCTGGGATTGGGTGGGTGGGTGGTCAGGACAGGAGGGGGAGAAACCCCCCTCTCCTCCCCAGGACCTCCCCCCCCCGCTAGCCATGGCTCCTCCCCACCCTCAGGACTGCTGGGGCAAGAGGTAGCTTGGCTAGAACCGTAGCATGGGGGGGGTCATGACGATGGAGCTGCATCTGGCACAGAGGGCTGCCCAGCCCAGCCCAGAGGTCCTACTGCAGAAGAGATGGTGGGAAGGCCCTGGTGCTCTGCTCTGCCTGGGGGCAAGGGGGCACTGCTGGAAGGGGGGAACGGTCCTGAGTGCGAGGAGGAGGAGGAGGAGGAGGAGCAGACCAAGGGCATCGCCATTGAGGCTACCCTGCTGTGGCAAAGCTCCTGCAGCTGCCAGCCACCCACCAGCCGTGGCAAGATTGGCTGAATGTCCCTGAAACAGGGGGGCAGGCGGTGTGGCAGAGGGGTGGGGCTTGGGTTCGAGGGCCGGCAGACAGGTCCCCAGGGAGGGAGGACTCACAGCGGTGAAGTTCTGAGGGCCACATGCCCGGGTCCCAAACCGGCAGTCCAGCAGCATCTCCTCCAGGCTGTGGCCGGTGCGCTCGACAAACTCCTCCATGTCAAAGCTGGCGCTGGGCGAAAACCCCCCGGGGGCCTCCGCCTCGGGCCGGCCCAGAGCCTGGAGGTAGCGGGGGTGGTCGGCCGGCTCCACTCCCAGCAGCTCCCAGCCCAGCCAGTGCAGGTCGTTGCGGCTCAGCCGGGAGCGCCGGATGCGGTTGAAGTTGCAGAGGCTGATGGCCGGGAAGAGCAGCTGCTTGCCTTCCTCCTCGTCCAGCATCGTGACGTGATGGTATTCCCGGTAGTACTGGACCCGCTCGGCCGCCTGGTACAGGAAAATGCCCACGGCCACCAGGATGGCCGCTGCCCAGGCCAGGCGGCGTGGAGTGAGTGCGCCGGGCAGAAAGACGTGGCTCAGCCCATGCAGGGTGCAGGTGCTGGCAAAAGCCGCCAGGCCGGAGGCCCCGGGGCCTCTCTGCTCCCCCTCTGCCGCCTCCTGCATGGTCCTTGGCTTCATGGCGCGGTGCGGCAGCTCCCCTGCCACTGGACGGGCGGATTGGGTTTCAGGAGATCAGGAGGAACCCGGAGCAAGGCGATGCCCGCGGCCAATCCTGGGCAGGGAGGAAGGGGGAGCCGGGCAGGTGACCGAGGTGGGAGGGGAGGGGAGGGCTTCCAAAGAGCTCGGTGGGGTCCAGGGGAAGAGGGGGGGGCTGGTGGGTGGCCTGAGTTGCAGCCCCTCAGCCAAGGGTTTGGCCCTGGAGGAGGAAGCGAGGGCCAAGCGCTCCCACCCGCAGAGAAAGCCCTCTCCTTGGAGGCCTGCCGCCCTGCCTTACTGTTTTTGTGGGAGGGCTTGGAGGGAGGAGAGACCCCTTTCCTCCTCTTCCTCCTCCTCCTCCTCCTCCTGCCTCAGAAGAAAGCCCGCTTCTTCTTTTGGACCCAGACCACAGGAGGTATCCTCCAACAGCTAAGACCCACCTCTAGCCAGCTCAGTG